AGCTGTGCTTTTTGAGATGGTCCCCACTATAGCATGTAGTGGTATTGGTATTTAACATCAGCGTCAAAATCGTATTGACTTTCCTAACACGTCTATTTAAATGTCGGTCACAGAAACCGGTTTATTAAAGTATAATTACATCACATGTATGTTCATTATAATACGTTTTAATGTTTGATTGGTTAACGGCAATCTCGCGTCATTCTGAAATTAACCTTCCTTTCAAAATGAAATGATGAGCTTCCACAATAAAGTGCAAAGGTAAATAAAAGAAAAACTTGATAGAAATCGTGTTTTGATGATCCTAGCAAAAAAATGTAATTATAAGTATTGAATGCTTCTTTTAGTAATTTTATAGGGTAGTTAAAGCGTTGACCGTGCGCACATTTTTAGAATGAAGCGCGGAAAATGTACTTCGGTCAACGCTTTTACACCCCAATAAATTTACAAAAAGAGGATTCAATTCTTAAATGAATGAACATTCTATAGTAAATGTGTACTTAATGTTTATAGTAACACTATGGTATTAGAAATTGTTTAAACCAAATTATGATCGTCTGTGATATAATATATGCATCTTCTTATTTCTATATAAGATATTCTATGTTATATTGGATTATTATTAATGTTTATAATTTAGTTTTTTCAGAGTTTATATTCTCTGGTAATAAACCATCCGAACTCTAGAAAGTCTCCTATGTTATTTATACCCGAAGGGACCCCTTTCACATTAGGGGGAGGGTTTGGTGCATTAGTATATTGATTTTTTTACTGTGTTTTCATATTGCTGCTAGCCCTGTAAAATATCAGAATCATGTTTTGCCGGAAGTACCTTAGAGAATGTCAATTTTTTCCTCAAAATTACGATAACAAAAACTAGTAGTAAGTAACAGTAAAATAAGTTAAAAAATATGAGAATCACTCGAAGAAAAAATAATTTTCTGACTCAGACAAAAAACCGTAACCCACCCCCGGAAGTTAAATGGTTGCTCCCTTAACAGCAGTTTTTGTTCAGAGGTTATATTGAACCTCAATGAAATGTAAGTATGACTGAAAGAGCTGTGAGTTTTTCTTCAAACAAACTAATTTTTCAAAAGCTGAATCTTTGACAAATTGTAACCTATAGCTCATTGCATTAATATCACCTGTTATAGATCAAAGATTGAATTGATTGTGTAATATAACATTACTTATTTACACTACTACGTTGACACAGTTTTGTATCAATCGTTACAAATAATTTGTACACGTCATACTGTTTAGACATAAGACTCAATGTATATTTATAATTACTTCATTTATATACTTGTAATCATATGTAGTGTAGTAATAATCAATACACGTACAGTGCACGCAACATTACAATTTATTATGTACTTGTGTGTCTCAGGGGTCTACCGAACTTTAGCTGATAATAGATGTACTTCTACTCTTCCATTGTTTTATCTACGAAATGGTCATTACAGGTAGGATCTGTATATTTCAAATGGAAAAGCATGCAAGCTAATTAACTTCTACGTCGCTTGGTCATCATACCACATCTTCTTATTTTTATATGTATTCTTTAGACAATTAACAAAATTATTAGATTGGAAATAGTTTTGTCATTTAATTTCACAGACATGAACTGACTTTTCAATACCTGTATATGAGACGTCACAAATAAAGAAAATACAGCACACAAAAACGCTATTTACACAACAGGTTTCCTGTGTTTTTTCAATCGTGATCACGTTTTTTTTTCGCGCAAGTATGGTGTAAAATGTAAACAAACAGACAGTGTTTTGTACATAACTCAGGCCGTTAGTTTTCTCGTTTGAATTATTTTACATTTACATTTGTCATTTCGGGGCCTTTTATAGCTTGCTATATGGTATTGGATTTTGTTTATTTTTGAAGGCCATACGGTGACATAGGTGTCTCATTGATAATCATACCACACCATCTTATTTTTATATTCTTTTCAAGTAAGACATTAAACCGAAGCTAGAAATACATATTTAATGTACGTTAGTATTTGTGATGAGAAATTATTATTTGAGATTAAGGTTAAATATGCCTTTCAAATGTTGGTATTTCAAATTATAGAATAAAACCCTTTCTATACACATACGAATGTTCAAATCAAAGGAAATGCATTCATAGAATCTATGTTTATGTCTTATTGCATGAGAAAGCACATTTTGCAAATAAATTTATTTTCAGATGTCCTAGCAGGTTCTTTCGAAAACAGACCATGACGGGCATGTTTTAGGTTAGGAGAGTCTAGGTTTAATGTTGTAATTTAAAAAAAAGCCCTGTTGGCCGCGTGGTTTAACTAGCTCATCTATTGTATCACTAGCCTGTCAACCTTGAGGTTGTGAGTTCGAACTCCGCACATGGCAGATGCGTGCGACTCTAATCTTAATTGACTAGGATAGCCATTTTTCCTGCTGAAGGTCGGTGGTTTTCTCCAGACATTCCGGAAAAATAAAATCTGACCGCTACTATAAAGCCAGTAGTGCTGAAAGTGATGTTTAACACTAACAATCAATCGAGTAATACACCAACTTTTGATGGTCTAAAATGTGATTTATTATTGCATTTACATTTGAAAAAAGAATGCAAAGGTTCAAATAACTTTTTAAAACACAAATTCAAAGATCATGCTGAATTTATACATGCATTTCATAAAAAATGCCGTCCGCTTGTATATAATTAAACTCATCAAACCAGGAATAAAATTTTGAACGCAAGACGCGCGTTTCAACTACAACAGACTTATTAGTGACGCTGTAATAAAAAAAAGTTTAAATGGCCAAATAAGGTTGTTTTTGTCACATCTATTAAACGTGGGTGGGTCTTCATTTTGACAGGATACACAGACCTGATTGCTTCATTTATGGTTTTGCTGGATGGTAACAACTTTTTTCCATATAAATATGTAATATGTAATCCTTAGACGTCATTGAAGTTATTTTGCCAAATTGATTTCATATGATCCTTAAATTGTATATTTTATGATCCTTCTTTCAGTTGAATTTTCTAGGTTTGTTTGAAACATGTGATAGTTTCCATGTTGAAAACTATCACACCAATCTTTTTTTATGTCTGAGGTTTATATTTGTTTCCATAATGGATAGGTAGTTTCTTTCCGTCATCCTTTATCGTATGATTTTCTTCTTTCCTCTATCAGGGACTCAGTTGGGCATTTAGCAAAATTGTTTTTGATTTAAAGTGTATCCTTACAGGTTTCCTGTTCATTGTCATCGCAGTTGTGCGGTTTCCGGGCTTACGATTTTGTATATTTCGCTGTATTTCTTTTTTTAATAACACTATTCTATATTTTGAGCAAGAGCGATTTGAGTGAGTAAATATGTGTTTTGTATGTTTTATTGCATTGTATTTAAATTTGATAATGTTTGGGGTAGGTTAAATAAATGGTTGTAGGTCTCGTCTGTTTTTGTCGTTTGTGCTTAAAACTTTTACTTTGAAATTTAATTGTACGTGCATCAATAAAACTAAAACAAAATTGCGAAACATAACTAATATAATTTGATCGTAATATGTTATTTTGAGTTTTGACATCACGTCTTCTTCCTGTAATGCTGACATTTGTTACTGCTTGGTACAAGTAACCCGGTATTTTTGATGAGTTTTGACATCATAAAATCTTCCTGGAATGCTGACATTTGCTACTACTTGGTGCAAGTAACCCGGTATGTTTGATGAGTTTAAACACCTAGAGTTAATGATAAAGTAAAGTTCTAATGTGTAACTTCAACTCTTCTAATATTTTTCTCATGCTCGTAGATCCCGCCATTTTTATTACGGATATATCGCCGAAAACAATGCCGGGTCAGCGGGTTGTCCAATTCCGGTATATTGATAAATTCATTTATCAATTATATTTAATTGATTTTTTTTATTTCAAACATAATAATCCCTAAAAACTTTTTAAGATTTAATTGATTTTCTTGATATAAGATTTTTTCATATTTTATTAGCAATTGACCCGTGTCTGTTTTCAAATACACGCCACACGTTGATCACCGGAACCGCCATCATATAATAAAAAAGGCACCATCACATAATAAGAAAGCACCATCTTATAATACAAAAGCACCATCACATAATAAAAAAGCACCACCATATAATAAAAAAGCACCATCTTATAATACAAAAGCACCGTCACATAATAAAAAAGCACCACCATATAATACAAAAGCACCATCTTATAATAAAAAAGCACCATCGTATAATACGAAAGAACCATCACATAATAAAAAAAACACCATCATATAATACAAAAGCACCGTCATAAAATGAAATATCCACAGCATTTAATAGCAAATGCCACATAAGACAGCTATGGCGTTCCATAATTTACCGACTGTTTTATATCTGGTATTCCCTTACAATTTATCATGAAAGTCAATGAACATGATGAAAGAACCAGATAAAAATACGTCGATAAATCAAATATCTAGGCTCAACTAACTCTGCTCTTGTGAGGTTGGGTTCTCAGGAATAATTTTAACGACTTTTATCAAAGCATAACTGATTTTTTATCTTATGAAACATATCACTATTTATTTTAAATGAATAAATCAAACGATTTGTTTTCAATAAAAAAAAAACCAATTAAAACAATGAATTAAGCTGTACAAAATTTCTGTTTGAACGAGTACTATCTTTTTACCCGGAAGTAAAATAACTTGTTGTACTATGTACCAACTTTCTGTACAGAGTACTATCTTTTTATCCGGAAGTAAAACAACAAGATAGTACTATGTACAAACTTTCTGTACAGAGTACTTTCTTTTTATCCGGAAGTAAAACAACAAGATAGTACTATGTACAAACTTTCTGTACAGAGTAGTATCTTTTTATCCGGAAGTAAAACAACAATATAGTACTATGTACACACTTTCTGTACAGAGTACTATCTTTTTATCCGGAAGTAAAACAACAAGATAGTACTATGTACAAACTTTCTGTACAGAGTACTATCTTTTATGCGGACTATGTACAAACTTTCTGTACAGAGTACTATACAAGTTTTAAAAAGTATTTTTGTCGGCTCACTTCGGCCATCGTATGAAAGAGACAACAAGAAATCCATGTAGAATAGGCGAAAAATATCTTTACTCCAGTCACTAAACAATTTTAAATTGTGCGAGGAGTAATTGTGGTAAATTGATGCGGGATTGTCAATAAGATAGTTAGCCATCAGAGCATAAAGGACCAAAAAGATGTAAACACTTTTAGGGCAGTTAAATATGCCTTCAGTGAATTTATTTATATTCACTCTGAGGTTCGGAATAATAGTTTATTATTATAATACATAATAGTTTATACGCATTTTAAAAGCCACTAGTGTAAGTATAGAAAGAGACGGGTTCATACTGAGCAACTTATATTTCATTTAAGAAGACTTACAACATGTATTTAGGAGGTAAGTGCTAGAGAAAGCTCGAATGATATGTTAAAAGTTAACCATATATATATTATAATTGATATTTACCGTTTCCTTTTTTTTTAATATTGGTGTTGTTTTGTACACTTTTTAGGTGTATGCATAATTTATTTACTGTGTACAGTAAAGTTTTTCATAGCGGTCCAACGCCCTCGTAAGAAAGATCGTTCACTAGGTTTATATGTAGGACTCTAAAGTGCGATGGAGACGCTAAAGTACGATGGTCATTAACAGTCGTTTATACAAACCAAAAATGTACATGCTGGAAGATAAATTAAAAATATTTGATTAACTACTTTTAAACCAAATGTCCATGACTTTATTTCAAACCTTACTGTGCTTTGTCTGCTGAAGCAATTGGGTTTTTTTTCGGGTGCTGGAAGAAGGACTTGACAATGTGTCCTTCAGTCGACCATTTTACTATATAGATACAAAATAGTATACACATAGGTCTCCTGTATCCTGCTTCTATTGGAAGCGAACGAATACTTTTGATTAAATCATTGTTTACGTTGCAGTTTAGATCAGTTTACTTTGCGGTCCCCGTTAAAATGTTGTCGATTTTATTGAAAAATAACATCGGTAAAATAAAGGTTCATGTTTTCAATCGTAAATTATAACATAGTTTGTACATTGTAGGAAAATATAACATGTATTTGTACTTGCTACGAAAAAGGAGGTAAATGTAGCTCGGCGAACTTCGCATTTCTCTCGCATTTACATTAAAGCTTTTACAAAAAAATGTTACGTATATTCTGACAATGAACGAATTTTGTATTTGTAATGACGACTGTAAGGGGAGGTGTTCAGATTATTGATAGACTATTTGAACGGCTTGCTACACCAATTATCCAAATATTTACCCGGTAATACTCCCGAATTGTTAAAAAAAAACATTTACAGGAAATATAGTATTTTGTGACATCTAAATGACTTTTTTGCAATTATTACCTGGTCGGTCTTCTAAATTTGGAAACAATTACGTAAGCCTACCGGTAAATTATAAAGGCCGTCACATATGTTATACCTGAGCATACTAGCTTTTGAAAAAAAAATGCTATTTTTTAACATCCATGTACTATAACGTTTCAAGCCCTCGAACCTTACCTTATTGGTCCATCGCACTTAAGTGAAATACCATGATCGTACTTTTGCAAACAAACAACCATCGCACTTTAGCGTGAGACACCATCGCACTTTATCAAAGACCATCGCACTTTAGCGTGACCATCGCACTTTAGATACCCTCGCATTTTAGAGTCCTACATATATATATATATATATATGTTGCCGGTTTATTTAAAATTCTGGGTTGGGTTCTATTTAGTTGATTAGTTACTGTGTCATTGACATACATACCCAATACTACTTTTATGTATAATTTTAATATATTTTACTTTTATAATCAATTGTAAAATTTTAATGTAATTTCTGATGACCCAAGAATAGATAAAGACACAGGTAACTATTCTCAACTCAACGGTAATATCAATAGCCTAACTTGACTCCAAATAACTTAAAATATAAACCAAAAGAAAAGACAATTCATGATACTGTATACAAGCATTTCCATGGAAAAGTTGTGAATCAAATTTAGATCTATGACACCTAACATTCCACATTTATGAACGTCATTAGGTTTAACTAACAGTCGTAGTTTCATAATTTAAGTATTTGAGACTCAACTTCTTCAAAGACATAACAATTTAAAGCAGGTCAAAGTCAATATTTTCCAACAGACAACTAACATTTCGATTGACACTGCTTCTTGTGTATTTATTTCTTCACACATAAAAACTTCAGAAAAGTGATGCACTCCAGATGAACGTTTGTCTCTTTTAAAAAAAAATGTAGGTGTCTAAATAGGTGCAATTTGGGTATCCTCACGTTAAATGTACATGGTATATTATAGCTTTCACACTTGTGAGGATTTGAAAAAGAGATTATGTTGAAATATCTTACAGATAAGGAGAATAATGGTACCCACTGACGACAAAACGAGTAAAGAAGTGGAAATTGGTATTGCAAGGCCTCTAGATGGGAGATACGGATGGGTTATTGTTTTTGCAGCGTTCATGATGAACTTTATTGTTTTTGGAATACTCAACTCATTTGGAATACTGTTTGTTGAATTGTCAGAGGAACTTCAGACAGGAAAAGCAGCAACTGCGTGGATCAGTTCAATAACCTTTGGAACTTTGATGGTATCGAGTAAATACTTATTGTTTATTTAGTTATTAAAAATCATATAAAAGTGCAACTATTCTGTAAAAAACATCATCAAAGATACAAGGAATTACTCTTTGCGGCATTGGAAAATTTGCTATTTTTGATTTATATAAAATCGCGTTATCAAGTTCGATCCAGGTAATTTTGATATATCTTTTATGAATCATGACATATAATCCCTACATGCACTCTTAACTAAATCCAAACCAAAGGTACGGGATTTTTATTGCTGTTCTTCATCTAAAATTAATATAACCACGAAGCAAAAACTCACTAACAATAAAAAAATTAATTTATCAACAACACAAACAACTCAAACAAATGCTGTCAAAATTGTTATAAAATTTCCTTGTAAAATATAGGAGCATTTCTGATACAAACACAAATATTAAAACACCCAAAGGGCACATTAAAATGTCAGCTAGTTAACGTCACAAGTTTTTTTTTTCAAAACAATTAATCACAAATATTTTCATTTATTAGATACAATGGACAAAGTCATAATTTTCCAGACATATTATATTTATGTTTACTTGCTAAGTTAGACAAATGTCTAAACAGACTTATTTCACAAAAGCGTTGTTCTCTGGTCGAAATTTGATATATTTATCGATCTGTCGTTAGAATTAACATTTTATCTTAAATTATTATTTATTTTAAACAACTTTGGGTCTGTTATCTGTATGTTTTACTGGTCATTTCTGTATATCTCTTGATTTTACATTAAAATACCAAAACGAATAAATATGTTCAAACTTTTAATGTAATAAATTGCTGGTTGTTAGAATTAAAACGCACAGTTATAGTGATATTATTCCGGCTATTTATAAATGGAGAACATTTTTTTTTTTAATTCTTTGGACATATAAAATCTCATCAATGATATCAGGCTTATAATTATGTACGCTAGTAGCGCGTTTAGCCTACCAAAGACTCTTCTAAACAATAAGTACAATAAAACAATGAAACCAGGGCAAAAAAAGACAATAACAAAACTTTACACAAGATTGAATAAAAGGAACGCACATTAGGTTGATCGTATGTACTCCGGAAGAGTAAGAAGTTCCTGTGTGGCATCTGTCGTGATGTTCTTGAAAGTAAAATCCTTTAATCCTTCTCATTCGGCAATGTGACAATCGAAAAGAAAAGTGAAAGGGATTTGAAAAATTTAAAAAGTTCATTGTAATAAAATGTTCAAACATTGATAACGTTGAATTTGTGTTTATAGACAAACAAGATTTAATGTCGTTGAAAAAACTGTCAATAAATTATCCTGCATATGTTCTAGATATAAAAAAAACTGGAGAATATGCAATATTATATTGCTTTTTTATAGTATTATTACAGATTATGATTGAACCTATTAAATTTGTTTTTATGGTATTATTTAACCTATTAAATTGGTTTTTATGGTATTATTTAACATATTAAATTTGTTTTAAGTATAAAAATACATGTGTGTGTATAGGTCCAGTATCAAGTGTATTGTCAACCCGGCATGGGAATCGGATGATTAGCATTATTGGATCTTTGATAGCTGGGATCGGGTTTATATCTAGTGGATTTACTGAAAATATTTATTTTCTGTATGTCTCACTTGGACTTGTTTCAGGTACTTTTCCAAACTACATGTAATTAGTCATATAAAAATGCTCGAAAGTAATGAGCTAGGTATTGAACCAAAAATAAAAACCACAAGGCACAAAAATAAACTTAACAAACTACAGTATAAACCGTTTGGGATATCTGTAAATGTAAACATGCTTTGCACACGACACTCTTTTTAGTGTTCAGTGTACATGTATGCAAGGATCGATATCGGAATGTCAATCTCTGTTGAACAATTTAACAAAGCTATGGATTACAAATCCTAGCATTCTACCGATTTATCTCTATGATCATTTGAACTAGTGTTGTGTTTGACAAGTTCTATGATCGTTTTGTTTGAACTAGTGTGGTGTTTTACAAGTTCTATGATCGTTTTGTTTGAACTAGTGTGTTGTTTTACAAGTTGAAGTTGGTACCGTAAATGTTATCAAATGACTAAACCAGATATCCTTTCCTATGCGAATAAGAAAGCAAAAGAAATGCATTGAATCAACAGAAATATATTTAATAAAAGAGAAAGACTACCACGAAAACAGCACAATTAATTGTACACATTTAAAACAAAAGCTTCCAAAAAGATTAAAATGGTTCCAACATATCTTATCTATTGTCACATCTTCATTAACTTTAACACGTTGCAATGCTATGTGTATAAAAAAAAAATGAGATACAAATGTATGGTATGACCTCCACAGAGATAACTATCCACCACCAGAGTCCAAATGATGTATATTTAAGCAACCTTCAACAATGAACAAATACCCTATAGTAAATTTTATAGTCACTAAAATGTGGTTAAATTAATAATATTAATACATTACACTGACCTTACTTTTTTCAACAGGGATTGGATTTGGATTGGTATATTTACCTTTTGTCGTTTCTGTTGGTATCTATTTTGAAAAGAAGAAATCATTTGCAATGGGTATTTCTGTTTGTGGAACTGGTGTTGGAACTTTTATATTTGCACCGATTGTGGAAGGACTTCTAAATGAATATGGATGGAAAGGTTCAACTCTAATTCTTGGGGGAATAGTTCTAAACCTAGCAGTGTTCGCTTCGTTATTGAGACCGCATGTAAACCATTTTGACAATGATAAATACATTTGTATAAATACAGAGGAAACTTCTGATCCAGATTTATATTCTGTACCTCAAAATGTTGCCTATGATATCAGTTCAAATAATTTTTCGGAGGTAAGCAAAACTTGTGATTTTGATTTATTAACTGTTAAAACTTACGATGCAAAACTTTTCGAAGAAACAGAGAAATTTCTTGCTAATAAGCAAATAGTGCTGTCAGCTATTTGCAAAAGTAATTTATGTCCGAAGGAAGAGGGAGATTTTAAAAATGTACCAAAAGAACATACGTTCACACGAATACTTAAGTCAGCGTTATCATATTATGATTTTTCTTTATTCAAAAATTTTATCTTTATAATTTTTTTGTTTTCTAACTTCATTATAATGCTTGGTTTGAATGCTCCATACATATACTTGCCTGATCGATCACAGGAAAAGGGTGTTAGTAAATCTGACAGCGCCCTTTTTATATCCGTTATTGGAATAGCAAACATGGCTGGTCGCATTGTGATTGGCTGGTTAGCAGACCGAAAGTGGGTCAATCGTCTGCTGTTATACAGCACTTCAATGGTGGTTTGTGGATTGGCTACTATTATCAATCCTTTTAATGACAGTGTGGAATATTTGATGGTTTATTCAGCGTTGTTTGGATGTTTTAGTGGTAAGATTTATTTGTTCCGTGAATCTTCAAAAAGTATCACATGTTTTTTTTCTTCTCAATATATCAATGGTTTTAATCTCACATAATTGCAAGTAACAATTTTATTTAAATCGGAACTTTATATTTTGTTCATGTTAAACAGTTAGTCACTATAAAGAAAATAAATCAAATATACCAAATATTCTATGTTCTAAATGCTTCCCTGTATCAAATGTACTGAATAATCTGAGTTTTAAACGCTTCCCTGGATCCAATATACCCTATATGTGTTCAATCTGAATCATATGCGATAGTGAGACCTCAACAGAAAAAGACGGACAAAATGAGTTCTACTGTGAAAACGCGTGTACACCAGATATAGAAACACAAATGGCCGCCCCGATTTATACCAAACTGTTAATAAATAAAACCAAAAAAATTAAAACTGATATCAAAGATATAAAACGTCAAAGAGTATAAGAACATGCAATATTCGATCAAAAATTAAATTTAACTTTTATACGGTACGATGTATGGATTGTTATATGACTTTAATTTGCAAATGAGCATGACGAGACTTATTAAACACATGTATATATATGTACAAATGTATGTAATGAAATAAGGAGTTGTAATATGATTGCCGATGAGACAACTATCCAACAGAGTCCACAAGGATGGGATTTTGTTACATGTTCATCATACGGAGTACTTGCACTTTTACAATGTTCATCCAATTCAAATTACACTTCTTCACATGTTTGCAAGCTATTCAATTTTTATTTCAGGTGTGTTCGTCTGTTTGTATGCTATAATACTTATAGATTTATTAGGATTAGAGAAATTTAGTAATGCTTTAGGAATTGTCATAATGGTGCAAGGAATAGCATCATTTATTGGACCACCAGCTGCAGGTAAATTAAATAAATTTTAATTCACCAAAAAATGCACTACTATTGTAATGTTTATTTTTTTTTAAAGTCATATGAAACGAGTTCCTTAAAATTATAATGTTAAGGAAATTATTGAACCAATGCATGTATATATACTAAAATAAATCCTCTATGCACGATTTTTTAAATTCATTAAGAATCCATTACATATCATCGACAAAAATATCAAATTCAGTGAAAACTTCCCCTTGTAATTAACTTTCGTGTTGTTTTGCCGACGTTTACCGAACGTGACCTTAATAAATAAAAAATCAACACAGAATCATCGAGCGCGTGGAAAATAAGTAAAAGATTTACAATTTATGTACTCTAGAGCGATGTATATTTTTTTTCTATATTTTTCCATGCGTTTTTCCCTTGCATTTGCTCTGTGTGGTTCCCGAAATGTTAATGAGGGATCGCATGGTTAAGGTCACAGCATACGGATACGCTATCGGCGAATTAGAGATCTGGAAGGCAATAATTCAATAGCAGTACATATCTGAAGACTTTGATAAGATAGAGAAAAGAAGGTCCATGTCCGCGTGTTTTATATTAAAACTTAACCATTCAAGTATATAAAACATAGAAATTTTCTTCAAATTTGAAGTATCATATGACTAAAGCTTTGAAAAATGTAGTATTTGCAGTGTGTGTGTGTGTGCGTTTAATGTATTATTTCAAATTTTGAATGAAAGGTTATTCTTGACATGTGGTGCATTTTTAAAGATTCACTGAATTATACTGTGAGTTACTGTAACTTTAGCTTTATTCTATCAATATTTAATCTTTGTGTATGTGTGTTAATGTCATCTTAATGAATTCCTATAAATTTACAAGAAAGGGTTGTTCTTGACAAGTGGTTCCTTTTAAATCTTATCTTTATTTTACTGCAGTTTCCTGTAATTGCAGATGTAATTATCTATTTTGTGTGTTGCCGTTGAGGTTTGTTGTTTCTGATTTTTTTTCACATTCATAAAAAAATATCCTCAAGTGGATATAAATATATCCATTCACCCTTATTTAATTTTGTATTCTTCAATTAAAGTGAGTTTATCATTAAATGAAATTATTAAGACAACCTTGAGGTGTTCTAGAGGCAACTACTTTTGCGATAAGATCAAATACTTTTGTTTCTTTACTTTGATCCTATAAACGAACAAAATGAGACGCGAGATATACGTCAGTAGGAAACGACAGAAATACGCAAAAAGACATATAAAGGTCAACATACTGTCTTCAAAAATACACAAATGATAAACTTTAATTTTTCCTGGGTCTATTAACTATGTATATAACAGAGACTATGGGAGATCTTAAATCAACACCGAATTCCGTAACGGACAAAAACGTTATTACGACATGAATACAGATGACGACATTTTAAACAAGGATATATGCAGAAGTTTAACGGTCACCATCAGGAATTGCATGTTGATCATTACGACGATTCTGTCTCTAAATTCACTATGTTGTCGCTGTCTTAGATCTTTCAAAGACACCAACATTTTTTATTTATAAATTTATCAATAAATGATTTCCGTTTTCACAGCACGAGTTTCTGGGTTATCATTCACCACGTTCGTCGACATCAAACGATTAGAAAGGGATTGACATTCACCACGTTCGTCGACATCAAACGATTGGAAAGCCAATTTGCAATAAGAGTTTCACAATTGTTTTCTATTCATCATATAAGTTGTTCTATTGTGTTGTTTATATACGTGGAAGTATTCTCTCTAAACTAATTTTGTTCTTTATAAATGGTCATTCTTTTTGTATTCTTTATAAATGATAAAAAGTTCTGTTTTTCAGGGTGGCTTTACAGCAAAACTGGGAATTACAATACTTCTTTCTATGCAATCGGCGCTGTGTTAATATTTGGTGGACTATTAGTATCTCTTATACCAGTAGCACGCAAATATTTCATCAAACAAACATTAATGCTTGATACTGAGTGTGAGGTTATAGAGAAAACATACTGTTGACAATTTCAGAAATTATCTGATTCTTCTTCGAATGAAAGGTCAAAACGAAATCGAACATTAAGTACGGATCAGCCATTTGTAATATTTTTAGTAATACAATTATCGCATAAGATACCCTCAATAGCTATGTTAAAGTCTTGTAAGAATCGAGCCTTTCAGCTTTTTCTGCATGACGGTCTGGATGGCAGTTCTTCGTTTCTGTATTCTTAAATTTTTTGGGCCATTTTTCTTTATCTTTAAAAGATAACGCTTATTCTGTAAAATTATCACGAAACTTATTTTACTATTAAATTGAACTGTAATCATCTGATTTATTAATTTTGTAAATCGTTCATTTCTGTAATCAGTATTGCATTACCAGATTATTTTATTTCCCAGTTATTCTTTATACTTTTGCATCCCGTTATTCTCTATATTTTATTTTTCCCTCATTTTATCTTTTAGGTCACTATTCTGCATTCTGTAAATCTCCTCCAGACCTGTCTGCATGTTGAAGGTCTCGTTGTGACTTTAATATCAAGCACGGGAATAAAACTGCTGTTCCGAAGCTTAGGGTTTTTACTAATCCTGATCTTCAGTTTGTGTCATCTCCCCCTCTTCGCCGAAAAAACTTGGTTTTGAATTAAATAGCTTTGTCTTTATATGAAATAGTACATGTAGATTATTTAAGACACCCCCACGTAAATCTACATGTGTATATTATTCTGTTTTCTGATTTTGCTGTATGATTAATTTAAAAACCTCTCATCACTTTCTTTTGACATTATTGCACAAGTATATTTATCTGAAACTCTATATCAATTGTTGTGAGAAATCTATTAAAGGCAATACAAAAATAATTACCAGGGTCTTTTATATTGATACTTTAATCACAATAGTATAGGAGGTGTTGCTTTTTGGGAAATTTATATTCTTTTGAATAGGTTTACTTATTTTGCTACACATGATGTATTTATAAAATGAAAAGGTGGCACTTTTTACGTGTACTTAAACATATGTCTCCGCTTTATCTATATCACACAAAGAACTCGCTCAAGTAAAGTACTAGTACACGACACCCGGGGACAAAATATATGGTGTATTGTTAAGTTTTTGTCATGAGGATACATATGGTTAAGGGTTGGGATATTAACTTATTTTACAATGTACCAATTTTTAACTCTGAAAATGTTATATGAATATTTTTACTTGTCTGTATATATTCATTGCATATGATGTTAGACGCATTTGTGGATACCCCGTCCGCAAGTGCCCCCGTTGTAAAGGGGTAGATTCTAAATAAATATATATATATATTTAAATATAACTAACAATTAATGAGATGAAGGGTGTTAGGCACCTCCCTTGGGGACAAAATCTATGGTGAACTGAAAAGGTCTTATCAAGGTTGTTAAGAATAATGAGATGTTACCCTCCTCCTAACCTGAGATAGTGGTAACAATACAACATAAGAACAAACTATTAAAATCAGTCGAAACGAGCTTAACTCATCAGATCGATACAAAGCAGAAAAACATCAAAAAAAAACGCAGATTCGACGTGGGATGGTATTTAAACATCCCTCAAAAAAAAGACACTATGTACAGATCTGAGAGTACTCGCAGTTATTGACAGCTTGTTCAAAGCCAATAACAACAAATAAACAAATCATGCATCTTAGACTTAAACTAAAATATCAATCAGTACACATCAAACATCCAGTGGATTTAGTGTAAAGACGTCATTTACAGTACGAGAAAACATGACCTTGTGCAATGCCAAGAAACAAGTATCGACAGACTTTAGAGCCATGAATGTGCTTAAGTGTATAACAATATTATTTAGTTTGATTTTAATTTACTGATAATAAAATCAATATTTATACCAATAAAAACAATATTCAAAGATCTAGTTAGTTGAATTGATAACCTTTTAGAATAAGTTTATCTAAAGGATCGATACGTTTACACGGATCTTATCCAAATTTCTAAAAGTACAGCCAAACTTCCAAACCAAATCTTTGTATCCATGGAAGAATTTATTAAAGGTTTTAAGTGATTGGTTGTAAAGAAATACCTGACTTGACAATTTACTAGTAATACATAGATTACGTTCATTGAAATCCAAAACTTCACTCCAAACACAGGCATAGCGAACAAGTTGTGATATATAAACACCGTAAGATGGTGCCAAAGGAAAATCAGCGTCCAAAACAGGAAAACTAACAATAGGGAACGAAAAATCGTTCCTTTTGTCGTACATTTTTGTGTAGCGTTTCCCGTGTAAAACTGAAATATCAAAATCTAGGAAAAGACAGTTAATACCGTTTATATTTGATTTATTTAAAGTTAGTTCCTTTCAATTAGGTAAATTTCGGCAGTATATTAAGAAAATTCTGGATTATTTAACGAAAACATATCAAGGTAACGGTAAGTGTTGTTGAATTAATCAATTAAATGCAATTTTAGACGAGTCTATACTGAGTTTGGTCATAAACTGCGATGCATAACAGTACCAGAACGAGTCTGCTTTTAAAGCTGCTAAACTAGCTGTTTTCCTTATTCTTTACAAATCATAATGACTTAGTTGACGAATGAAAGAAGGAACAACAAAGTAGACAACATTCAGTCCCATATAGTTAACATCGGTAATAAGACAACCACCGACATCATATTACATGTACATGCATATTAATATGTTTGTGAAAATAGTTACTCCACTCGATCTACGTTGTCTTATTCCTTTCATATTCATTTAAGAAATGAATGCGTCTTTTTGTAATTTTATTAGGGTGTAAAAGTGTTGACCGAAGCACATTTTGTATAATGCACGGAAACGCTTCATTGTAAATATGTGTGCACGATCAACACCTTTACACCCGAATAAAATTACAAAAAGAAGCATTCATTTCTTATAATTACATTTTTATGCTAATAAGACCATAAAAAAATTTTATCGAGTTTTTCTTTTATTTACCTGTGCATTTTTTTGTGGATGCACGTGTCATCACGAATATAACATACACTTTTTTTATGGAAGCACGTGTCAACACGAATGTAACATTTCATTTTGATATGAAGGTTAATTTCTGAATGACACGATTGTTGTTAGCCAATCAAACTAACGGATTCTCGTGAAACATACATGTAATGTAATTATATAAATATATGAAATATGTGTATTCGACAATGAAACTACAACCCAATGACAATTTAAAACAGAAAAATTGTTGTTGAGAAAGAATTATTATTCGGACGCGGCAAGATTATATAATCTTATATTTTTTAACAACTTATAAATCATCAAGATGCAATCCGAAGACTGCCGACTGTCATGTAACCCGATATAAACATAAATATAAATATAAATAGATAGCGACCACGTGCAATAGGATTTTTCTAGGTCTGTTTGATATAATGTTATAGGTTAAAAAAAAGTTAATCATCGTTTTTACCTGTATAAGAATGATTTTTTGTCAACGAAATGGTTCATCCTTTTTACACTTTCAATGTTGACATTCTTTTCCTTTTAATAGACGAACACGCCTAGTTCAGCTAACGGGTAAAATTGTCACACGAATACGGATTCACATGAAGTCGCATTATTCTCTTACAAGTCATTAATACACAAGCGATGTTTTAGAGCTTATTTTGACAAACTTTGTACAAACTAACTGCGTATAAAGAAATATTATTATAATGATATATGAACTTGTCTAGGTTTCATGAGATTGGTTTGCAATCTATTGTTATGTTAAAGAAAACTTTGTTCATTAATTAACTTAAAAGTTTATATTTCATTTCGTACTAGATTATTTTATAGATTTATATCTATTGTTAAATTTCATTGATCTGTATTGGTAATGAAGTTAGATTTCAGACAAGTAGTGTAATAACAATTAAGGTGGAGAGCTATTTACATTGTCCTAATTTTGACAGCTTTCATGCAGCTGATATTTCAATCATGATCTCTTTGCCATAAAGAACTACTATTTCTATTCCATAAAATCCTTTTCTGGAGTGCATTTTGACAAATTACTTTTGCAAGTTTTCTCTGAATACTTTGTTGAAGCATATGCTGTCGAAGACTAACTGACAGCGCCATGACACAAAACGAAAAACAACGAAGACAAACAAGCCTACAAAACACCAAATAAACACTGAATACTGAGCAACACGAATCTCATCAAAACCTGGTGGTGATCACAGGTGCTCAGGAAAGTTAAGCAGAAATCATGGTAACTACAAATTCGATGATAAGTTTTAATTCACGGTTATGTCACAATCAAGGAAAAAAGTCACGATAGTTGGAACGTATCCGTTGTTATCTGTGACACAGATATTCGATATAAGTCAAAGTAGTCACCCGGCTCAAGATTGATGGCGTCCGAAAATCTTTGGAAGGAACGACTTTCACTTTACTGCTTGAAACCCTGTATCTAATAGCTTCCTTGTAAGCAGCAACCCTTTGTAAAGAAACTCAAACTCTAAAATATTGCTTCAACTGTATGGCACTGCTGAAATGTTGCTACATAGAAATGGAAAGTTCACGATACGGAAGCTGAAATCCCTTTTGTCATATAGTTTTGTTTCTTGATAATTTCTAAATAGAATAGAGAATTGAAGAAAGATGTGTTATGCCATTCAAACAATGCTGACATTCACATACATTACACAAAATATAATCACACGAAAGTAAACAAATGTTACAATCAGCATGAAAATACAGGCACATATATTTAAAGCAATAGAAGCATTAACCTGCAATCATTAATTGCATGCATGGCATCTAAATTGGTGTTATTAAATGAAGTCAAATCACTATTGAGCTGGATATGTTAAAGTCATACGAAACTTAAATTTTTTTTTAAAAGTTGAATATGTTTTACATACTTGAATGGCTAAGTTTTACTATACAACAAGTGTACGTGAACTTTCTTGTTAAAGAAAATCCTTTATCTTATCAAAATTTTCATAAATGTATTGCTATTGAGTTATTGTCTTCCCGTAACCTAATTTGCCGATATTTTCCCGTATGCAGTGACCTTAACTACAAGACCTCTCGCTAGAACTTTGGCCACCGCACAGCGCAAGTGCGAGCTAGAAATCGTGATGGGAGAATGTAAACAAACGTGCGCTTGAAGGTAAATTGTAATAACTGATTCTTAAAAAAAAATTACATACAACAAATCATTTAACAACTATTAAGGAATCAAATGGAAACGCATGGAAAATATAAATAAAATCAAGCTCACTTATTTGTCACGTGCTGCCCTTGCTCTGTGTTGATTGCTTATCAATGTCACGATCCAGTTAACTGCGGCAAAACACTCGAAAGTTTATTAGCTTGCAATCAACAATCACTGAGTGAACTATTATTTGTCGATAATATGTTATAGATTCATAATAGATATTAAAAAACATGCATACATGACTTAGTTTAGTATATATACATGCAGTGGTTCAATAATTTCGATAACATTAAAATTACAAGAGACTTTAACTGTTTCAAATTTAAGATCTGTCGGCGCCGCATCTTCTTAAACTATCAAACTATTTATTTATTAAATTTATGAGAGGACTTGGACTAGTTTTTACGTATTTTCTTTGATCATTGATTGCTGACATTTATATTAGAATTATCATTGGTGAACGTAAGCTACCTACCAATAGGCACATTCAAGAGTTTTGAATTTGTCCTCTTCTTATTTGATATTAAATTTCCATCCATATTGAAACAAATATTTTGTTTTTTTGTTTTATAACCTATGGCAACTGCCTGTATTATATCATAATTATGTTTCATCTGGTGGAGAAAAACCAATTTATTAAATCAAACTTTCTTTTACATTAACCTCCTCCTGAATTTAATTATCACAAATCAATGTTGTCAGTGTAGTTTAACATTGCGCTATCAAAGTTAAATTGAAAAGGAGCATATAAGAAAATACTATCAACCACTGTCCATAGAATACATTGTATTTCTTTTTCATGTACAAAAATGTATTAAATTAATGTTACACATTGTTTGTTTTCAGATTAGTATTTATAGATATAAGAGGATGTGGTATGAGTGCCAATGAGACAACTCTCTATCCAAGTCACAATTTGTAAAAGTAAACCATTATAGGTCAAAGTACGGCCTTCATCCATGCTATGAGTTTTAAAGCAGATTCAATGCTCCGTGTTGAAGGCCGCACTTTGACCTATAATTGTTAACTTTTTATACATAGTGACATGGATGGAGATTTGTCTCATTAGCACTCATACCACAAATTCTTATTTTTATCAAACTCTATGCCTCAGATTTTAACAATAGCAAATAATG